ATGTAACAATCATTTGTTGAAGGACATCCAAGAGGCTGCAGCTGAAACTTTACTAGATTCCTTGATGCCACAACCTTCATTAATTTATTCAATTGCTTCTTAATTTCAATTATATTGCAACAATATAATTGCTTATATTGTTATATAGAGAAATGATGCTTTCATAACATGTATAATTATATTGGACAATGTATTGCCTCAGGTATTTTTAGAGATCAAAAAAAAAAACAGGCTTGGGAATAAAGTAGGCAATATATTTATTTACTGCCAGATAATTAAATAGGGTATTTTTCTATTTTCATATAATGAAAAAATTAAATAATCATTTTCTTTTTAGCATTTTTTTCATAATATCAGGGTTCACCCTCCCTCTTCTTTAGGCCAAAGACTCCTACTCTATACAATGCTTCCTTACATGAAAGCCATTTTCCTTTGATCATCTTCACCATCCTCTTATTAACATCTTTAGTTTTACTGTGTATTATTGCTATTGCAGGACCAGAGTACCATTAAGTATTCCTGATATGGATATATCAAAGTTTTATAAAGTTTTTTATATGTTTTCATACTTCTTTTTCCAGTAAAGCCCAATATTTTGTCCTTTTGATCATGATTAAACATCAAGCTCCTATCATCAAAGAATTACTTTTTCAAACTCTTCTTTCCAGGTGGCTATCACTAATTTACAACAAAAATTTCTATTGCTAGGATTTTTTCTCATTTTGATGTGTTTCAACCGCAGATTTACTACCCATGCTCAGCCAAAGGACACAGGTCTGTATCTTTTCACTACTATTTAGATTTTGACTTTGTACAAGTCTGTGCCACCAACAAATTTTGTCACCTTTTTTTTTATCTTCTCTTCCAGTATGAATCCCAAGGGTAACATCTTGCCGTTGAAATAATTTTTCTTTCCCTGTTTTCTTATCCACAAGCTACTAATACAGATGACATTTTTTTCTTTTATTCCCTGACAGCTTCCCATCAAAATTTGTTCAATAACAATGGATATTGTATCAACCAAATCTTTTTTTGTTATCATGCTCATTTCTTTTGTTATACTTTCTATGCATGGTCATTAACTCAGAACATTAATCTCTCACTTTCTTTAAACTGCCAGATCATAGATATCCACTTTCGACTGTTTATCACTTAGAGACTAACACTCTATCTCATGTTCGTAGTAGCTATTGTATTGCTATTATTTTATTGACACCCTAATGGAAACATTGGTGAGACTTTAAATCTTTAATCCCAGTGCTATCACTGTCTATGGCATCAGCAAAATAAGTTATGATATCGCACTCTTGTAGGGTATATTGGTCAAGCTCAGCAATGAAGAAAGAACTCAAGGATTTTCAGAAGAAACAGGTTTTAAAACAGGTTTTAATGATCTATTGGTCTGAAAAATAACATGGCATTTTGCACACAAAATCTTTGGACATGGATCGATTCTTTCATGGAGAAAATAGTTTTGCCTATTCTCAAATTGCCTTTCTCAGATGTGATTTATTTGCTCCTTGCTGCTAAGGAGAGATGCCAGAAAGAGGAGTTACCTATAAAATATACAGAACATAAATACTACATAGGCATTGTTACACTATTGATTAGTACTCTATTTAGGGATAGAGTACTTTTTTTTTTTTTTTAATGTTCTCACTAAATATGTCTTTCATTATTCCAATAGGAAAAAGAAAACCGGATAATTGGGCAACAATAGAAGGCAAAATACAATCTAGTTAGAAAACCTTAAGAAGAAAAAAAATGTGGTCTTCATAACAAATTCATTAAATTTACTACAGGACTAGTTCTGATGCCTGTCTTTGATATAAAAAAAAAAAAAAAGATCATCTAAAAATAAAATACTAATTCAATACTTTTCTTTAATTTCAAGTAATATTTTTGTTAAATATTTTATTATCATTTTAATCTCCCCTGTCCCAGGGTGGAACAGGTCCTTGAAGCAAATATAACATGGAAAACAGCTGGCTAAGCAGCTAAGAGAAGTGACTTGAGTCAAATAAAGCCAGAATTCTAACTTTTGTGGTATGAATTGCTCTTTGGAACTAAAAATCAATTTCTCCTTATGAGGAACTTGAGCTGGCTGGCATCCCAACTACGTACCTATGTAAAATAACTAAATTCAGCAGTATACATACCTAGTTGCAGAACATCTTTTTGCTATCAAATGCCTTGAATCCCCACACCTGCCAACCATTTACATAAAAATGCTTTCTAAACTGAGCCTGTCATGGGGCAAATTGTGATCTTTCTGCACACAAAGAGAACAGCGCTTTTTTTTTGTCTTTAAATAGCACAGAAGTCTATTACCTCAAAGTGGTGCAGTGCTTCATTGAGGTGACCATTAGCAGGTATGATCTATCCATCTGTGTGCACTTATCTTGGATGAAAGGGTATTTATTATATAGTATTGGCCTTTCATGCCTTGCTAGTGTATTTGTAATGCACTATTGAATTCCAGTAGATTTTTTTTAATTGCCTCTTTAAAAATATATAATTATTGTTGACAGCAAATCAGCTAGAAGAAGCAGTTCTAGATTAATTAACAGTGACCTGTAATTAAACACAACAGTGGAGCGGTCTCTAGATAATATTGCTTTAGCTTTAATGAGTGTTTATCATTCTTGTTCGCTTCCACTGTAGCAGTTATCAAGGTTAGTTACCAAATTTCTTAATTGAATGGAAATACATAGAAGGCACTGCCTTAACATAAAATATCTTTAAATATTCATGATTTAAACATCATCTCAAAGTATGTAGACTGCCTCCCTACATTTTCTTAGTCACATTTTACCTGTGAAGCCTAGCATTTTCTATAAGTCATACCTTTACCCTAAAAAATGCTTCTAGAACTGTGTATGGGCACATTCATTTCAAGTCCTCTGACAAGAATAGTGTATGTTCTATTAAATGTCTGTTATTTTTCAACATGTGAAGGACTCTCTCAATGTTTTTAGAGTAAGTTTTGCTACAGGGATTTTTGATTCTTGGTCTGGGCTTCATTAACAACTCTCTGCATAATAATGAAGCAAATCTCTATTGCACATGTTCAAAGCACTCTCCGATGCTTAAATTAGATCTCTAATGCAATTAAAAGATCAAATTCCTACTGAATTCCACAGGGACTTTCATACCCAGAGTGCTCTGAGAAACCAGCCTGTGACCTTTTGAAACATCAACCCTGCACTGTCACATGATGTCAACAGAGTGGATTCACAGAATGGTTAAGGTTAGAAAGAACCTCTTAGTGATCATCTAGTCCAAACCCCCTGACACCTAGAGTATGTGGCATAGGGCTGACTGGTACGATGGGAGGTTCAGTTTATCTGATCCTATTTCAGTTTTTAAAAATGTTGGTGTTTAGCCTGGAACAAAGACAGTAGATGCAACCTTTTTTCCACCAATCTCAGAACAATTTTCCAGCTTTCCAAAATATGCAGAACCAGAGCCAAAGCAACTGAAAACATGGTGACATTCTGGAGGGACTTCATCTTTCAACTACAGGGTGGTTCTGAATCCTGCTAAAGCTTACTTGGATCATAAGGGTAGTCCTTCTATCACAATAATATATATGATATGACTATATATATTTATAAATTAAAAAAGATATATAGATAGAATAAAGACAAACAGTGACAATACTAAAGAATGGTTCTTACGTATACTCAAATTTTCTCCAATTGAAACTCTCATCAGCTCCACTGTTGCGTCGCATTGCATTGCTAACAAGGTCTTAATTTACTTTTTTGAAACAGTTTTCTACAAACTATGTACATAAAAAAGTATATATAACATTAAGTGAGCACTGAAAATAAGAAAAAGGCTGGGAAAATAGGAAAGCAGATCATGTCTGGTCCTAGCACAATTTTCGTACTATTTGCTCCAAGTAGTTAAAATTAGGCAATCTCGAGAAGGGAGCAAGGTTGCCATTGTTTAAATCCTAGGTAAAAATAGAATGCAGACTGGGTTCAAATGAAGGTTATTCTTAACACAACTTGTACTTACAGAAATAAAAGAAAGATTCTTGCTGCCAGGATAGACAGCTCCTATGCTAAGGCACAGTTGCACAGACATCTCTGTAGGACAGACCATTACAAATGCCTACCTGGTAAGTCTTAATACACAGTGACACTCTACAAAATATTCTTAAAAATAAGTGTGGGGCACCTACATGTGCTAAATATATAACCAGAATATTTATTGAGAAACCTGCAAAAGGTGTTTTTGAAAGTGTATTTGCTCACTCACAGTTCTTTGCCTGTTTGTAGCTGTGTGTTTGAAATGGGAATGTGTTTCCCTTTCTGTTTCTTATTCTCTCTCCATACAGCATCCTTCCTCCCTCATTCCCGGTTGTGGAATTATATTGTGCTAGTCCTGAATGCTTCACTATTTACTGCTGAGTCACGTTATTTTACCCTTGTCACAGAAAATCATCATCATTGCTCTGATAGGAGTATCACAACAGCACCCTTTTGGTAGGAGGAGGAAGACAGGCTTCCAAATCAAATGCTATGGAAAAGCTGAATATAGTCTGTACTTGCAGAAAAACGGAGTCTTCCTCTTCAGAGAAAGTTGTCTACTTTCTATGATCAAAAGTTTGGAGATAGCCCAATCGGCTCTCCTTATTATTTCTCCTCTGTTCACACTCTGTGTCTCGGGAATGCCCAAATGACCAACGTTTGAAGGGACTTCTGTTGTTTATCACGGCTCTGCTGAAGGCTTCTGGGGCTGACAGATGCTGCTCCAGAAGGTTAATAAGATGAAGACAGCTCTTCCAGCTGGAACATAAGAGGGATTATGTCTGAGCAGCAGATAAACAGATTATTCCAGAAACAGACACTGCTTCTTCTTCTTCGTCTATTTTTTTTTTAAACTTCGTCACTCTTGTCTTAACAGTCCAGTCCCCAAGGCTGGAAGTGTGTGCTTTTGAGGTGTCTGTCCAGTCAGTTCTTGCATTGTGGCACCTGTTGCACTCTTTGCTGAGTTGCAGTCCAAGACTGTGAGGCACATGAGAAAGAAAACCATATAAAGAAGGAATAAGAAGAAGCTTGGGGATTTTAGGTCTTAAAAAAAGAATCTACTTCATCTAAATATTCATATTTCCTGCATGATTTTTCTTGAAAACTTTGAATGATTAACAGCCAGCATGCATTTGAAAACTGGATTAATATTTTTGGTCATTTGCCTTGCTCTCCAAGTTCATGGAAGCAAAGGTAAGTTAATATGTAACAAGATTATATTAATTTACATTACATGTGTTGAAAAAGATTGGAAAGATCAGGTTGTATATTGCAGAATCTGCACTGAATTTGGTGATGTTATGGTATAGTTAGTAATGCTACCACTGAAAGGCTAGATAAATTAAATGTTGGTCATATTTATCTCATTCATTTTTACATTTTTTGTTCTTTCCAGTGTAAACTCTAAAGAAGTTTCAGAGTCTCTGCAAGAGACATTATTTAGTTTTAATACACCAGCATATCTTTCATGATGCAAAAAAACCTTTAATTTTAAAAATAGTTTTATGAAAGGGGCAAAATAACTGAAACAAGTATCTGTGAAAGCGCTTTATGTCACTAAAAAGTTTAGAGCAATTTTAAAGCTTCAGTAACAAAAAAACAATAGATGTGTCTTTTCCTTGCTCGTTTTCACATTCAGTAGATTTAGAGCTTAGGGGAGGTCTTTATTTTTAGGGTAGGTTGCTTAATGACATTTTCTACCTATGCTCTGACCTCTCTATAATTGAATAAAAAGAACACATCACAACTGCTTCATGCTTTGCCCAATTTTTTCCATGAATGTCCACCCATTTTCTGTCAATCTCAGGCATGTAAATTAAATGCAGAAAGATAAAAGTGATAAAAGAGACAGTCTCTTCAATAGTATTTAAGTATTTGTTAAAGAGAAAGCAGATAAAAGAGACAGTCTCTTCAATAGTATTTAAGTATTTGTTAAAGAGAAAGCACAAAACAACACAGCACTGTCTATTTGGAAAGTTTTATTTATGCATCACACATTTACCATTTTTTCATTCTTGATATGCTGTTTTCTTCAAAAAAATTAAAAATAAAATTCTTGTATATCACTGGATTTACGTAAATCTCGTCTAGTGAGCAATTACAACAACGAAAACTTGATGATGATTAGCTAACAGTAGTATTAGTATGATATAACAGTAGTATTAGTATGATGATTAGCTAACAGTAGATTTATACGCTCTATGATTTTATCTTATTTCATGCAAATAGTTTCATTTATTCATTAACAATATACTGTAAGTGTGCAAAATAAGAGAATAAGTGATAGTTAATTTCTGACAAGGAAAAAAAAGAGATTTATCAGCTTGCACCACATTTAAGATATATATTCCATGATGGAATAAGACAAAATGAATTTCAGGTTATTACTGCATGGTTGATCTTATCATTTATGTTCACAATTGTAATTATGAAATGAGAAAGTAATAATGTGAAAAATAGGATCAAATATTTTTACCCACTTTAAATTGATCTTGTACATTATAATACATTTCCTATAAAAGACTTTGGTAAAACACTCTGAGAATCACTGTGAGAACTCCATTGTATCTCAAATATATGACCACAAATCTCTAAGGAAACTTAATACTTGCCTGAAGAATAACCTTTATCAGAGGAGGGATGGTTCCAAAATTACCGTTATACAACTTAGCATTAGGGCCAGATATTTAGGAGAAAATACTTGCAAAAGTACACAGGCATTTGCAATGGCTTGAATGTTTGAATTAGTCACTCATTAATGATCTTTATATAGATGATCTGAGGCTTTTGGGGCTATTTGAGGTTACGGTACCTGTTAACTACAACAGACCAGGAAAGGAGAGGCTAAGATACAAAGTACTGCTGCCTTAGCAGAAAAACACAGAACCAAATCTCCACATATTTATAGGGTTAACCATTTGCTTTTTCAACCCCCAATAACAAAACTGTCCAAAGCCTATATTCCTGTTTTACTCTCATCTGTATTTCAAGGTGAACAAGGTCAGTAATGTCTTTTGGTTTTCCTTTTCCTTATTTTACTAAAAGAATCCTTTTCTCAGACGTTTAGAGGCCATCCAAGAGCACCTCCTGTTCCAAACAAACAAACAGAAACCTGTGAGGAGTAATGCAAAGACCCTTGAGAGATGAGTGTTTATTTTTGGCCACAAATGTTGTCAGAATCCAGGAAATGGCCTCAGGATTGGGCTTTGATATTTGCCCTTGTCCTAACACAATCTATTTCTAAGAATGAAAAAACAAAATTAGGGTGATGGATAAAATTTTTATGATGCCAAAAAATATGTATGTAAAATATGACATGACAGTAAACTTTAACTGTTGAATTATAAAGCATTGAAAATTCTGGCTAACTAGTGAAATATAGAGAAGTACTGAACTCTCCAAACTGTATATTGATGCAGGGTAGATCCCAGCAGTTAATGGTCTCTTAGAATGCAAGGGAGCCAAAGAGCATTCAAGGCTGCTTAGTTTTTACTCAGCAAGCAACTATCCTCTATTTATTCAGTCATTCTTTAAGATACAAAGGCTTTCTGTGTGCTCTCTGAAATCATTCTAATTCATTCTGACTTACCCTTTCCTGTTCAGCTGTCCCAATTCAACAATAACTGTTGCAGCTCTTCATTACTATAATTGCCCTTGAAAAAAGGGTTAAACAAATCTGTGCCAAAGGGATGGTGAACTGAAAGAACACAAAACTTCCATGAAAGAAGGACATTAGCTTTTTGCATTATTATTATTATTATTATTATTATTATTATCTAAGTTAACACATGAAATAAGATTTATCAACTTAAAGCAAGGTGTCCTAGTTCCACTTATAAAAAGCAAAACTTCATTTTTCAAACAAAAGTGATACTGTATTATTTTTAGATAGACTAGATTAAAATAGATTTTTTTCATCTTGTTTCCTAAGAGTTATAATTGAATAATTAGGCTAAAATATTAAGATTTAATTACAGATGTCCTTACATCCATATCAGAGTTAGTAGTACATTATATCTAACTTCACAGTAAGATATGTGACTTTTTTGTTTAACAGTAACATGGAGAACAAGGTTGTCATTAGCAATAAAAAAAAAAAATCTTCTTTGATAGGATATGGTAGGATTCCATAGACTGCAATAACAGCTTATTTGGAGACAATCTTCACCTGCTAGATGTCCAGATTACATTTATGCTATTCTACACAGTTCAGCTAAACGTTATTTCCCTGTAACTTCAGCAGTACACTAAGTGACATGGTCAAATTTCAGCAAGCCCAGGGAACACTGTATCCTCTTCTGTAAGGAAAACTGCACTCTGCTGTATCTTGATTGGTTTCAAATGGTTTCAAGTCTTTTTAAATACATGTTTTCTCTTCTACCTGGCTACTTCTTTCCCTTTCTGGGTCCCTCTGGCATTAAAGTAACAGTCATCTCCTGTTTCTTTGCCACACAATTCTTCCAGTCTTTATCAGGAATTATTAGTGTACCTTCTACCCTGCACCTTCTTGCAAGCCCAGCTGTTTTTCCAACAATTAATTTCTTTCCATTAGGAACGTGTGCTACTGAATGACACATCTCTTTAAAAGAAATATCTTCCAATATCTCTTGCTCTGTATAGATCTATTTGATCAGTAAGTTGCCTTCTCTGTAAGTAGAATTAAATTGGTCCAGTATTTTTTTTCCATTTAAGTACAGCCAATCACCTGTATTTTCCCGTAAGGCCAAATCCTGTGTGGTTCTTATTCAAAGTGTTCCTCATATAAGCAAATGAAAAACATGCTAGGTGCTCATTGTGACATTGCCTTTTAGCAAGTAGCTACTATCTTCTCCTTTAACAAGGCTATTATTAGAACTCTGTAGATGTGGAGAGGACCCTTCCTACTCCACTGTTACTTAGTCGCTATCAATTGCTATTTACTGGGCAGGTACTTTAGAACAGTAGCATTAGCAGAGTATATAAGTGGACCGTCAGCTTTAACTTAGAATATACCTATCAGACAGAGCAATACCTCATTTCACAAAAGGGTGCAACACAGGAGCATCTGAGGCCCTAACCTGTCAGATTATTAGGATAATAAAGCAAGATAACTGTAGAGTTCAGTGTTTCCAAGCAAACATCTAAGCAAACATCTAATCACATAGCTGCCTGCAAGTTAGTAGGGCCTAGATTCAATTTAAGAATTAAAAAAAAAAAAAAAAGAAGCCTACATATCCTATCATATTGAGGCCACTTGTGCTTGTCTTTGCAGTAACAAGGTTCTACTGGCTCTTGAATTTCTGCTTCACTGCAGAGCCAAAATTAATTCCCTGTTGACCATTGCTAACCTTTCAATACCTCTCTCCGACATTATCCAACCATGGATAATAACCTTGGTATCCATGAACCTAAGTGGCCTGAAGATGCCCTTTTTAGTAGGTATGCTCCAGGTATCTCTCTCATACATAGGAGTATGCATGTCAACACAGATCATAAAAGCCTTAGTAATTTCAGATAGGAGGTAGTGATATACTCACTTTTTATTTTATGACATTGCTGTTACAGCACTAATGGAGACAATTCTTCTAATTGATTCATTTTCCTTTTCTTCTTCTCAAATCTACATAATTTTATCTAGCTCAGAAGTTGCCCAGCTTAGAGTAAGGAATGAGACTAGATGAGCTCCAGTATCCTTTCCAACTTACTATGTGCAGCTTTACACCTTATTGCATTGTAACTTGGTAGATACATATTAAGCATAGTTAAGATGAAATTAACCAGAGCTAACATTAGCCAGACACTGAAGACTATATTGCAGGACGAGTGCTCCCAAACTAATAAAATTTGACTGGATCCAACTACCAATATTCAAGTACTGGGATGGCATAGTGCCTTCTGGTTTCCCAGAAATCATCTTTTATACCAAGTATTCTAATTGTGACCATATTTGAATTCAGGTTCTTCAATAAGCCTATTCTGTACTGTTATTCTGTTATTCCTTGACCTACACACCATGGTTACTGCAATATAGACACGTACAGCAAATACTGCAAGAACGATGCTGCCTCACTGACCTTCTTAAAGGATGAGTGTACAGCTTGAGTCAGGCTGGTTAGCAAGTGAATAGCAGAGGTCTTGAAATGAGTACTTCAGTACTGCAGAGCTGGGCAAGTCGCTCCAAGAACTACTCAAATGGAACATTCTCTTGCATGCTT